GAAGGGGGGAAGATGGGAATGGAAGAATAAGCGGCCAACCAACAGAGAAACAAAAACAAGAAAAAGCCAACGAAATAGCGGCAGCGGGAGGAGGAAGAGGAGGAGGAAGAGGTCGACGAAGAGCCAAATTTCAGTCGTTGCAGAGCATGTCTGTTTTCTTTTTTATTATTATTATTATTATTATTATTATTATTTATTATTATTATTATTATTATTATTGTGCTACCATTTTTATATTCTAAAAGAAGCCACGCCTATATTCCCTCTCTCTCCCTCCCAACATATAATATAAATAGTGGTTATCCAGTATTTTGAGAGCGATGAAGTTTAGGGCATTTTCGTCATTTACTTTCCCTATCAAAAAATATATTTTTCTTCCATTATAAATTTAATACCAAAATTTTAGGTGTCGGCCTCAGCCTAGTTTAACAGACATGGAATATACTCACCAACTAACAGAGCTTGATCTTGTTGAATTAAAATACCCATGAATTTTACAAATCTATTTCTAAAAGATTCACTTAATTTCATGGGCTTATAAACCTTGTTAAAATGTTTAATGAATTTTAAATTTCCATGTATATACATCTATTTAATTTTTTATTTATTAACCTCGCCTAAATTAAAAATTTTAGAGTTTTAATAGACTATCATTTTTAAATTTATATTTAATAGGCTATTTAAAATTTTAAATATGTAGGTAACCTATTTAAATATAAATGGAGAACTAAAATATTTTTAAAAATGGGAGATCTATTATAAATAATAAATTAATAGACGTCTTTAAACTTATATTATAAATGAAATTGTACTCTAATCATTAATTTATAACCGAGCCAATTTTTGCCATTTTTTAACTGTCAATATTTAAAATGGTTAAGGTAGATATCCTTTAATTAATATATTATTTTGATCCTTATTTGAACCTAAATTTTATACCAAATAGATTCCATTCTATTTAAATTTTGTAGTGTGTCACAATTTTGACAAAAGAAATAAGTTAAATTTGAAAAATAAAATAATTAAATTAAATTATAAATTTAGTTGTGGACTTTAAAATTTATATCTACCTAATTCATAAATTGCAAACTTTAAATTTATAAATTTGGAGTTTTTAAAAAATTAAGTTGTATTATAAATAAATTTGAATTGTGGGCCAATAAAACTCTAAACTAAACTCAGTAAATTTTATAATATTTAAAATGTTGAACCAACATTTTAATTTTAAATATCAAGAAACTAAATAAATTAATTAGTAATTATTTACCATCATCATAAAAAAACAGAAAGTCAAAAAATCATACAACATACGACACCGTTTTGTTTTTCCGCAGTGGACGTATACCGCACGGTTTTATTATTATCCGTGGTCACATACGACACTGTTACAACTAGGAATTTTGTTGTTACATTTAATTGTGAAAACCAAACCCCGGGGGTAGGTTAACGAGCCGCACATAACCATGTGTTCGGTTAATTTTTTCAACGATCGGAAAGGTGTCCACGTGGATTGACGGTGATTTAATCCAACGGTTTGTGTTCTCTTGTTTTCACCACGAGGAACGGTCAAATTTGCTGGTAAAAAAAAATAATATTTTTTTATTTTCCCTCTCCCGCACTCTTGTCGTTACTGTGGGGCCCATCGCTAAACCCGTCGGCAAGAGGAGATGGAGACGCACTCAACATGAACACGCTTTGGTCTTCCATTTTTCTTTTTCCATCTTTTTATTTATTTATTTTGCACTGATAAAGAAAAACATTACGTCTTTCTACAAATTCCTCTCTCTGACCAAAATACCCTTCGGATTGGATTTCAGCGGGCCCCACTTGTCTGCTTACGTGCTGGCGAGTAGCCTTCCCACAGCGTAGGGTCTATAATATTACTATATCCCTTTGGTCCCGTACTCTAGAATATATTTTCCTATGTTGCTTAGTGTATTTCCAATATTCCGATTTTTTTTTTCTTTTCATTTTTTACTTGATGATAATATTTTATATTTTATATTTTTATATTTTCAAATTTATTTTAAAAATATTTGAACTTTTGTAATTATTTCAAAATATATATTTACATGTAAAAACTAAAGAAAGATACGAGATATTATGTGCCTATATAATTTGTTATAATCGCTATTACTATTTATTTTATTTTAAACTATTAATTAAAATTATTTATATAATCACGTATAAACTACTATATTAATTTACCTTCTGGAGTAAAATAAATAAATAAATCAAATACATTTTTACAATAAATTTTAATATTCGATGGTAAAAATGAATATGTCTGATGTTTATAAACATAGTTTAAATTTAATGGTGTGTATTTTAATTAACTATTGTTATATTTTATTGACGAAAAAATTAATTTTTATTCAATAGGGTGAGAATATTACCCATTAAAACTTTAAATTAATAATTATATTTAAACGATTATAATTAGATTAATTTAGAGGTAGAACTTTCTTTCAAACCATAACCCATGCGAGTGAATTATTTAATTAAATTAAATAATATTTGAAATTCATGTTTTGAAAAATATATAAATTATAAAACAAGTAACAAATTAAAGTTAAAATATATACGTGTTGTAACTTCCTTTTGCAGTCGGTCTTGTATACAAGTATAATTAATGTGAAATACTCAATAATTTCGGTTACAAAATTATTTTAATCAATGGAATTTAGCTCTTCTTTTAATAATATGATATTCTATCTTATGGATTCGACTAACATTAAAAAAAATACAAATAAATAAGTAATTGGACCACCTTATATATATATATATAAAAGAATAAGTTAATATTTTAAATTTGTCTTTTTCCTCTCTAAAATTGTAACATATAAAAAGTTTATTCCCACTTTAAAAAATTATGTAGCTCTATTTTTGGAATTACTTTGGCAAAACAAAAGAATTAAAATCAAATTTTAATTACTGTAGTCCACGAACTAATGATAACCTACTTTACTTATTTTATTTATTTATTTATTATTATTTGGTTTATCCCACTTTTCCTAACGTATATTTGGGAATTAACGCCAAGTTTTTTAGATTTTACTAATTTTTTTTTTTTTTACTTTTAATAAATCACAAAATTAATATTTTGATACTTGATTAAATAATTATCATAATTTTCATATATGGGTAAGTCTAATAGAGACTAGAATTTAATGGAAAACAACAATTATCTAAACCTGTTACTTATAATAAAAATATAGTTAAAAAACAAAAATCAAAATATTATTTTGAGAACGACTTACAATAAATGATTTCAATTAATCTTATTTCTAAAATTTATTTTTATACACCACACGCCAACCATAAAAGTTGCCTAAATTCAGAAATTTCAATACTAAATGCTTACTTCCAAATATTTTGATAAATGGATAAGTCCCTCTATTTCTTCCTCAAAAACAAATTTAATATTAAAATAAATATAAATTAAGAAGCCAATATCATAAATATAAGCAATTAGATTAAAATATATATCATTCACAAAATATATACATACACGCTAAATTGACGATCTAGATTTGTTGAGAATTATTGGGAGTAGGTCCCACATTGATTAATTTAATGAAAGATCATGAGTTTATAAGTGAGGAATACTATTCATATTGGTAGGAGGCATTTTTGGGAGACCTAAAGTAAAGTCATGAGAACTTATGCTCTCGAATTGGACAATATTATAACATTGGGGATTGATTCCTAACGAGATTTAAATTTTGGAAGGAAATGTTTTTATTTTTTATTTTTTTTATTTTTTGTGTGGGGGAAGAAATTGCATTAGAATTTGGAGATGACAGAAGAACTGGGAATGGAGGGATATGGGGAAGTTTTAATGAGAAATTGGCAGTTAGCGTGCAGGGAATGGAGGATGCCATGATTTAAGAAGGAGACAGACTGGAAACTAAGCCATAAAAATCGAACATTTATCGCTCTCATCGCTCCTCGCTTCCTTTTTTCTCCAATCGCTCTCTCTCTCTGCTCGGCTACAACCTGTACCTCTCGCTCACATCGCCAGTGCCTATTCTATCTTCAACTCATCGCCATTTATTTTATTTTTCTTTTTATCCCCAAAAAAAAAAAAAAAAAAATCCAAACTTATAAACTTGACAAGCTGTAACTTACTTGCAATTTCACTTTTGTTTGGATCTTATCAACCACCCGCACCACCCGTCCTAATCTCGATTTCAAGTTGTCGGCTCTCGATCCCAGTCACCAGTTTTCAGTCTCAATCGATAGTTACCATTCCTCAATCGATGGCCACTAACCCTCCATTTAGTTATCGATCTTCATTCTTAGTCTATGATTAGTATTAATGGTCGATAGGTGATTGAGACTCGAGTTTCGAGAACTTAATTAAAGAATAAAATCAACGATACTGACTATCTCTCACGACTGACTCCAACAATCTCATATTTTTCCTAGGCATTCAAACACGTTGATACCTATGAAACGTCTAATCCTACGACATTTGAAAGGCAAAGTAGGTGGTTGCCTTTGACTCAAAGCTCATTCATTCTACGTTATTTATTTATTTTGTCACCTAAATTTGTTCGGACAATTAAGTCAATTAACAGTGGTTTTAGTTTAATTTAACCATTTTTGTACCTATCTTAATATTGTTGTTTGGTTTAAGATAGATTAAACACATAATTAAATGTTTAATTATTATATATAATTTTGAACCATAGGAGGAGACAAAGTATTTTAGCTTCTGGTTTATGAACTGGGCCGCTTTTAGAAATAACAAAAAGCTACTAAGCCCATCTCTATTATCAATCCTTTATAAGCTATAAAATATATTTATATCTTATTTTTTATGTTTATTATATGAAAATTATTATTATTATTATTTAACCAAATTCAATAAAAATTAATTCGAAATGATTAAATTTAGAATGTATTAAAATTATAGAGACTAAAATAAAAAAATAAACTAAGTAATATGACACCAATGATATTTTGAGGAAAAAAAAACATTGGGTTAAAGCATTGTGTTTCTTGCGGAATATCCATAGCGGCTTCTTCTGGAATTACTACGACGTTTGATGCAAATGAATCCTAAGAATCCCAACAAGCCTGCTCCTATAATCACTCCAAACGCAATGCCTGCCTTTTGTCCGCCACTCAGTCCTTTTGAATCTGCACCACCCTTTTCATTCAATGCTTTGTTCGTGCCCGGCGCCGGCGGCGGAGATGAGCTTACGTCAGGCGAAGGTGCGGGTGGTGAGATGTTGGTGTCGGGTGGCGGTGGTGGACTCTCAGTGGTATTTGATGGTGGCGGAGGCGGACTGCCAGTTGTGTTGGATGGCGGCGGCGGAGGTGGACTGCCAGTTGTGTTGGATGGCGCTGGCGGAGGTGGACTGCCAGTTGTGTTGGATGGCGCTGGCGGAGGTGGGCTGCCAGTTGTGTTGGATGGCACTGGCGGAGGTGGACTGCCAGTTGTGTTGGATGGCGGCGGCGGCGGCGGCGGCGGTGCACCATCGGTTGTATTCAACGGCGGCGGTGGAGGAGGAGGAGATGCATCTTGAGAGAGAGTAAAATTTGTGAAATTAAAGAGCACAAAAATGAGAATAAAAACAGAAATTCCAATCCTTCTTGCCATGAGGCTACCTACGATAAAGATGCACATAAACACAAATATTTATACACTTTTAATATAAATACACTTTTAATTTATGTTCTGTCTTGTTTTATTTGTCTGCAATTTTAAGATTATTGTGTGCATAAAATTTATGTAAATTTTATTTATTGGGTCTTATATTTAAATGTATAAATTAGCCTTTAAAACTTTATTTTCATCGATCAAAGATTACTTTAGCTATAGAATCCAAATATGGCAGGCTTAGCCGGCTGCATATAATGTGTTTTTATGTCAAATGCAATTAAATAGTATATGGGTTACTAATATTAATATGAGTTTATAAAACATTAATACTCATTCAAATTTAGATGAAAATTCATGTTGTTTATTTAAATTATATTTTGAATTTTGTAATTCAAAACAATAATTTTTTTTAAGATAAGATTTATATGTTTTTAGTGTATCTTGATATTGAAGTTAAAATACATAATTATATTTTAAATTATTTTAAATTCATGTTTTTAAATCTTTAATTTATAATTTTATTCGCTTTTTATTACTTATAAATGGGTGTGGATGGAACGTTAGGATGAGCATTTGGGCCGGGCCTAGATTATCATGGAATTTGGGCTGAGTTTTTGTATATAAAAGGGATGTAATTGGGCTTCTTTGATCTTTGAGCCCATTAATTTCTATCATTACCGGGTCAACTGAGCGTCAACTTAAAACGCCGACGTTTTATACTCCTCCGTAAATAAAAACGCAAGTGCCCTCGTGGATTCTCTATATATTGGCAAATAGTGGTTACTGGAATACTGACGAGAGCCATTTTTTCGCGCGAAAGTTGAAATTGCTCTGATGAGAAGTGCGATGATTTTTCGTTCGAAGTTTTTGGTTGCTCGAGATGCTGTAAGTAAACGACGTTCCACTTCCAGTGATTTTCCTTTCACTAAACGATATTGTTTCTTGTTAGGTCTTGTAAATACGAAGTTCTTTACGATTTTGTTTAGTCGAAGAGGAATCCAAATCGTTTATTGAACTAATAACCGTGATTTCTCACTCTCGTAATCCTTGATATGAAAAGTTTTGTTCGTCGATCGGATTAGATTAGGTATTTTAATTGATCGATTTATCTCTTATGATGTGTACGGTCCGATGTCTCAATACTTGATATCTTAGATTTTGCCATTTCGAACTAGCTGCGGCAGTGCTGGTTATCGTGAGTTCAAATTAGACTCCCTCTGAACATATTGTTTCTTCAATCAATAGTCGTGATTGTAGTCTTATGAATCTTAATTGCTTTACGATTTTTATTAGTCGGAGAGGATACCGAATTGTTTATTTAACTAGCGATCGTTATTACTCAGTGTCGTAACTCTGATGATAAAAAGTTTTGTTGTTCGTCGATCAAATTAACTTAGGTGTGTTAGTTGATTGATCTGAATCATATATCGATTTGTCTCTTGTGCACGATTCCGATGATTCTCTCGATATAATTTATCTTATGGTTTGCATAAATCGCTGTAGTCCTTGTTCTTCTGAGTTTAAATTAAAAATTATTCCTCGACGAGCGTTCAGATATTTATTTTTTATCTCAGAATTTTGAAGACGATTTGGCGTCGGGAGTGATTTACGTGGATGCGTGTTTTGAATTGCTACCAGAAGGTCCGGAACATATTTATTGGTACGTATTTTGATGATTTTACACCGTGATACTCTTATAATCTTTTATAAAGTTCAAATCGTGAAGCAAGTACTTCGAAAATCTAGCAAACTTCTCTGAACTTTTTTCTTGCTAATTTATTTCTTTTTTCTGCATTAGAACTGTGATACTTTTCGATTTGTTGAATATTATGTCCGGTAGAAGCTTGCACTGATTCATTAGATTTCGTACATTCGAGGCTTGAGTTGTGTTTCTTTTTAGAAAAGGAAAAGATAAGAGTTACTTCTGCCTATCAGCATTGTGATCTGAGTCTCGGTTTTATTCATTTAGGAGCTCTCTGGTTGTAATATTATCTCAAATATTTGGTATAAAACAACTTACCTAAAATAAGTTTTTTAAGCATGCTATTTCTCTTATTAACTTCTTAGTCATTATTTTTCAATAGTTCACGTCTAACCGTCTTCCAGTAGTCTTAATTTATTGTACATAATTATATTATCTGAAATATCTTATACAAAACAATTTTCCTGCTTCTCGTTAGTCCTAATTGCTTCTAGGCTTGAACTCCCAAAAAAAATTATTGTTGGTTTAAATATTCTCTTCCTTCGACGTTCGACATGTTATTGTTTCTTAATAGTCTTAATTTCCTTTAAGTTTATGTTGCTTTTTTGATGTTTTTCGTCATATATAGAATGGCTTTTTTTCGTTAATTTATTATTAATGTACTCTGTTCAATCTATACACTATGATACTTATGGAACAATTTAAGTTGCTTAAAATACCATCCTGAGTAAATCATATGCCAGTTAAGGATACAAAATCAGAAAATTCCAGTTATCAATCAGCCTTCTTTTGATTATGACTTTATTGCTCCCCGTGCTTTCCTAAGTTCCTAACACTTCAATAAATAAATAAAGAAAGAAAAGAAAAGGAACTGAATTGAAGTTGAGAAAAAAAAAAAAAAATTCCAAGAGCTTTAGTGAAGGGAACAATGAAAGATCTTGGGAAGTCTCAAAACTGCGACATCCTAAAACTTCTCAATTTTCTGGATTTATCATTGAGTGTTCTTTGGTTTCTTTTCCATCAAAATTAGCACTTAACCGTACAAACTACAGTACCCTTATGCTTGAGAGGGTTGCCAACCAAAGGTAGCTCCAAACATTTTCGGATTAAGAGAGTGGTCAAATAGTTGACACCAAAGGATCTTGGGTTGGATATTTAACTTTTCTTGTTATTTTAATCTCTCTTTACTCTTAATGGAGTTAGATTAGAGAGATTTTTACGGGCAGACATTTAGTTCACTTCCATCCAGTGTCCAAAATACTCGTTATCAACAGATGTATTGAAAATAAAAAATGTTGTGTAAATTTTATCTTTTTTTTTTTTTTTTTTTTTTTTTTTTTTTTTTTTTTTTTTTTTTTTTTTTTTT